AGTATTACCCTCTCAAGCAAATTTGGCCTAAGGAGGAGAACGGTTATTGTATAGGCAAGCAGCTATTTCTGTTGAGAAGTCAGCCTACTTTGACTCAATGACTGCCCTGTTTCCAAATTTACAATGATAAACAAACCTCCAGAATTGATGTACAACATTTTTTTCTTGAATGATATTAATATGCAGGCTTAAAGTCAGGTATGATTTGACACATTTTCATTTGTAAATTCTTAAGAAATTTGTGTCAGAAATTAATCTTATTATTTCTATAGCATCAAAATAGTCCAGTAGTTGAAAGCAGGAAGAGACACTATCAGTGCTCAAATTCAGGCTTTTGGAACTTAGTTTCAAGTCACCTGACTTCTTACTACCTCAGCTTTTTTCATCTGTAATATAATTACCGTCATCAACATCATCTACCTCACAGAGCTGCTTTGAGAATTAAATGAACACGAAAGCATTTACAACAGAGCCTGGATATCAATAAATGTTCCCTATGAGATTATCCCCTTGTTATATTCTGGTGTGATAGTTCACTGCAATCTCTTCATAGTCATTATACATGGTTAGGAGTATGTCAGACTTTAAACTCAGTAATGATGCTTCTTAGGTATATTTCATAAACAAGTTACCCATCAGTTGTTTCTGTTTTCCAATTTGTAAAATTGTGATAATACTATAATCTACTTCATAGAGCTATTGAGAAAATTCAATAATATAATGTAAAATATTTATTCTACTGCCTGGCCAATAAAAATGCTCAGAGATGCTATTTTTAATATTTTTTTTTCTATAAGATTTGTTCACAGTGTCTATTGGAGTTGCTGTCTCTCAAACACTGTGAAAGTTAGGTAAGATTCTGAGAGGCAATAATGAAGATCAGAGTCTACCCATGAAGCCTTCTTTGACCACTGCTGCCTAAATTAAACACTTTCTTCACTGCATACCACTAGCACTCAGTTTATATTATTTATGACACAACATACTATTTTCTTTATTAAGAGATTATTATAAATATTTTCTATTTTAATTGTTTCTTAAAGGTAAAGACTACATTCTGTAAAATTTTTAATGTCGTGATTTTCATTTTCACTAAGCAAGGGAATAATGAATATTTCTTGAATGACACAGTTTTAAAAGGTCAACACTTCAAGTCTTTTAAAAAATGTCTTGAGTCACTCCATTCAAATACAGTTTCACACTTTTTTTTGTCTTTTCACCCATTTTCTTTCTTTTATTTTTTAAGTTGCTCAGTTGTGTCCAACTCTATGTGACCGCATCAACTATAAAGTCCATGGAATTCTCCAGGCCAGATTGCTGGAGTGGGTAGTCTTTCCCTTCTCCAGGGGATCATCCCAACTCAGGTATCAAAACCAGGTCTCCTGCATTGCAAGCAGATTTGTTACCAGCTGAGACACAAGGGAAGCCCAAGAATACTGGAGTGGTAGCCTATCCCTTCTCCAAGGGATCTTCCCAACCCAGGAATCAAACCAGGGTCTTCATCCACTCACTTAAGAGTCAAAGATTTGAATTTCCTTTGTTAAGGAATTTATAGTAGACTTTTACACTGGGCTCATACTTCTCAGTTCAGTACAGTTCATTCGCTCAGTCGTGTCTGACTCTTTGCAACCGCATGGAATGCAGCACGCCATGCCTCCCTGTCCATCACCAACTCCCGGAGTTTACTCAAATTCATGTCCATTGGGTCGGTGATGCCATCCAACCATCTCATCCTCTGTCATCCCCTTCTCTTCCCGCCTTCAGTCTTTCCCAGAATCAGGGTCTTTTCCAATAAGTCAGTTCTTTTGCATCAGGTGGCCAAAGCATTGCAGTTTCAGCTTCAGCATCAGTCTTTCCAATGAATATTCAGGACTGATTTCCTTTAGGATTGACTGGTTGGCTCTCCTTGCAGTCCAAGGGACTCTCAAGAGTCTTCTCCAATACCACAGTGCAAAAGTATCAATTCTTCGGTGCTCAGCTTTCTTTATAGACCAACATCCATACATGACTACTGGAAAAACCATAGCCTCGACTAGACAGACCTGTGTTGGCAAAGTAATGTCTCTGTTTTTTAATATGCTGTCTAGGTTGGTCATAACTTTCCTTCCAAGGAGTAAGCGTCTTTTAATTTCATGGCTAGAGTCACCATCTGCAGTGATTTTGAAGCCCCCAAAATAAAGTCTGTCACTGTTTCCAGTGTCTCCCCTTCTATTTGGTATGAAGTGATGGGATCAGATGCCATGATCTTAGTTTTCTGAATGTTGAGCTTTAAGCCAACTTAAATGTTAATTTAAGCTCATAATCATAATTAACTGCTTTTGAAAAAAGTGTTCCTCTGATAAACTGGATAAGAAGCCTAATCTTTTTCTTTAAGTATATTTTTCTAAGCAAAATACATCTTCAATAACATTTGGCTTCAGCAGGTGGCCTGATTCCATCCATGGATGATGCTTAATCTATTCCTTAATGAAAGTAACTCCTGATAACCAAGATAAAAGTCAAGTATAATTTTAATGTTTGAACTTAAAATGAGGACTATGATGAATGTATATGTAAATACATGTAGCCCTCTTCAAGATACAAGATATTTGGATAGCTTGATGTTTATTTTGGATTCTAGCCCAGTTCTTTACTAGCAAGATTTATTGTAAGTATCAAAGGAAAATTTTCTTTCATTGAAGAAGAGTATTACTGGAAATGATTTTAAAAGTACAATCAGGATATTTTTTCATGAATTATTAAATTAAATAAGTTAAAATAAAGTTTATCATCAGAGTAAAGGAAAATGTTTTCATTATTCCTAAAACAAACACCGCTTCTAAGAGGATACAAATATGTGATTGTAAGCATCTTATTTATTCAAAGGAAATCGAAAGAAAAGAGATTGGGGAAATTCAAATGTATGCAAAGGAGTGTGTGGCCATGAATCTAGTGTACATTTAAAAAATTACTTACCAGTAATCAAAATGTCTTCTTTTAAAAGAATTCACTAAGTGTAATCTATGTAGGACTTGGGAACAAGATAATAAGGAATTTTCTTTTCTCATGGATATTTGTAATCATACAGTAAAAATCTCATTTTAATTTGTAGAAACATCATCAAAAGTTATTTTTCTGTTATTTATTTTACAGACAATTTTGATAGGACTAACTAAGCAGTGTTTTCTCCTCTTAAATAAAGATTTAGAATTTAAAAATTCAATATTTCAAATTATGTTTGAGTAGAGGTCATGAGAATACAATTCATGGTTATAAAATCCATAGATAATCTGACTAGAAAAAATTGACAAAGGGATACTCAGTATGTTGACAGTAGCGCTAGAGTTTACCATGTTCACTAAATAATTCTACTAGTGACTATCAGATTTGTGTTCCATCCTTACTTTTACTGATGAGCCAATTATTTTTATTTCCTTTTTGTTTACTTTATTCATTTTAGTCTCTTGGTCTTCGTTCTGTGACCCTTAAGTAATATGAATTAAGCAACAAAATAAGGATTTCCGTCCTGGGGACAAAGGACTGTGCTTTTAGAGAGTGTCACAGAATTTTGGCTGAAGTCTACCCATCTAGTTTAATGGAACTCAGCTGCCCAAACCCCATGTGACCTTGGAATATTTAGGGCTAATGTAGCTGCCACTTGCTTTCCCTCCCTAGGAGTCCACAGGAGCTCTTGTTTGCTGCTCCCAGCTTTCTGCCAACCTGTTTGTGCTTGGTTCTATTGATGTCACTTTCTGGCCACTCTTGTGTAACTGTTCTCTATGTTCAAAATGCTGAGCAGATTAGGTTAAGAAAACTCTCATTTTTAAATAGTTATTTATTTGCAAGGAAAATAAGTTGCACTTTAGAGCATAAATCTTAACGTTTTAAAATAAAAATGTAAAAACCAGGCCCATCCACACTGAAAGGAATTTTTTTTTTCTGTCTCCTTCTTAAGGCAAATTTCTAAGGAAGCACATGTTTCACAATATATATTCCTTATCAAAATCTGTTTATTTCCTCTCATTTGAACCTATCAATCTCTACTCTCCTCTCTTCCTAGTGACAAAAATAAGAGAGAAACTAGGTTTGAAAATCTCTGGGATTAGTCAGATAGAAAACAGGTAGATTTTAACTTGGGAAAAAAGTGTTTAAACAAAAATAACATTATTTGATTATTTACTATTAAATGTGTGCTAAGCCACTTCAGTTGTGTCTGACTCATTGTGATGTTATGGATGGTAGCCCGCCAGGCTCCTCTATACATGGGATTCTCCAGGCAAGAATACTGGAGTGGCTTGCCATGCTCTCCTCCAGGGGATCTTCCTGACTCAGTGATCAAACTTGAGTCTCTTATGTCTCTTGCACTGGCAGGAGAGTTCTTTACACCTGGGAAGCCCTATTTTTGCTTACTTTTGTTAATGTAGCACAAGTAAAAATATTGAGACAAAATATCTTCTTAAGATATAGTAAAATGATATAAGTAAAATGCCTTGTGTTTTACCTTGGAAAGTTAAATAAATTAAGTATCTTTATACTAATCAGTATTTTTGTGAGAGTTCACATTGGAGACAATATGCTAGGCTAAATATAAGGCATTATAATTTCAATTACCCTCAAAGTGTTAAGTACTAAGTAGATTCTAAAGTCTATACAAGAGCATAAGAAAAATACTTCAGATTTTTTTTTAACTGAAAAATAGAAACGGGTAATATTTTTAAGTGTTCTACAATCAGCCCAAAATTATTCTTTTATTATTATATGTAGGTATAAATGCTTTTGAAAGAGGAAAAAATACAGCATTGTTTTCAATAACTTCCCATTATTTGAAAGATCAAGATATATGCAAAAGATTGAACCTGAGGTCTTAACAAAACTTTTTTGTCATTGGTGCCTGATTTGGAAGAATATGACAGGACATGAAAACCACAAATAATAATAACTTCTTCAAGTTTTTCAAGATTCAACAAAATAACTGCCATAAATAGCAGCTTACAAAACTCATGCAAGTAACAAACACTTACCATACTCGCTATCATAGAATATAATGAACTTCTGCCAGGCATATTCCGTGACCACTCTCAGGATAACGTCATTTAAGTAGACAGGTGGCCTAACAGAGAGAGTGTAGTCATCATTTCTGTTGCTCCGGGTGAGTCCGCAGCCACTCCTTGGGGTCCCAGCTGTGGAGCGCTGAATGAAGAGGTGGGGGATATGCATGGCGTCTGCCAAAGACTGGAGGGATCCCGCTGATGTGCAGCCAATGGAGCTGACCAGGGCCAAGATGCCTTGATTCATAAGTTCACAGGCTGTAAGAAAGTACAGTAATATTCACATGTCAATATAGGTTTCATATGCTTTCCCTTTTACAAAGAACAGTAAATAAAGGTTACACAGTTATTATACAACTATGGAAATATGTATATTTTTAAAGAACATTCTATATGTGGATATCTTTCAATTACAAACCACTATTGGGATTCAGATCAAGAATTCTATCCCAACTATTAACAGCTATCTGACTTCATGCAAATTTCTTAGCTACTCTTAGTCTCAGTTTAATCATCTGTAAAGAAGACTTAAGCAGGAATCCTTCAGGATTATTGTGAAGGTCAGAGATAATTCAGTGTTTGCTATTTGTCTCTCATGTGATAGGCATCCAATTAATGACAGGTATATGGTTTGGTCACTAAGTCATGAACGACTCTTGCAATCCCATGGACTGTAGCCCTCCAGGCTCCTCTCTCCATAGAATTTTCCAGGCAAGAATACTGGAGTGGTTTGCATTTCCTTCTCCAAGTGACAGTATATAATTATCAATGAATAATTCAAAGAAAAGGTAATTCTTTACTGAATATGTAATACAAGGTTTTGTAAATGAAGGGGGAGATGAAGAGTTTGAGAAAGGCACATCTGGCCACAGAGAAGAGAGTCATTCTGTTACCTAAAACTTCAATGACACTCAGCTTTCTTATTAAACTGGAGAAATGGAAATGTTTTTGTTTTTTTCCTTGTTTTACAGAAAACTCATAGTTAAATAAAATAATGCATTTCAGAAACTACCTCATTCTGGTTTCCAGCTGAACAATATCTAATTTATACTGCATTGTGTATGATCTGTTTTAGCTTCATTTTAACTAATGTGTGCATGCATATACTCTTCAAAACATATTTAAAACAAGAACAAATATAAATTATAACTAAATATAAAGACATAGCATCTATAGAAAAAAAGAGTTCAGAAGTGATATATCAGAATTCCAACTTTTGAAGTCAAGAATTTAAAAACCAGAAGTAAATACAGAAAGAATCAGGAAAAATTAATTCCACTGGAGAAGGTAAGACATCATAATTGTTCAAGTATTTATTCTAGATCTGATGCATTCTAGATATAACATTCTCAGTATTCACACTTTAGTTTTTTACATAATTTTTGAAAAATTCAAAGGAAAAGTTAGATGATAAGTACCTCCATGAAATATATTGGCCAGTTGGGGGGTGGTCCCAAGATGGCAGATGAATAGGATGGGAAGACCACTTTCTCCCCCACAAATTCATCAAAAGCTCATCTGAATGCTGAATAACTTCCGCAAAACAACTTCTGAATGCTGGTGGAGGACACCAGGCACCCAGAAAGTCGGCCCATTCTCTTCAAAGGGAGAAGTGTGATTAGTAGCTTGATTGCTCTCTCCCTTTTGACTCTCCGTTTTCTCCATCAGGTCACCTCAATCTCCTCCCTCCCTCTTCTCTTCTCTACTTAACTCTGTGCATCTCTCTGGGTGTTCCAGACTGTGGAGAACACTTAGGGAACTGATTACTGGCTAGACTGGTCTCTCCCCTTTTGACTCCCCCTCTTCCCCTCCTGGTCACCTCTATCTCCCTCCTCCCTCTTCTCTTCTTCATGTAACTCTGTGAACCTCTCTGGGTGTCCCTTGCTGAGGAGAACTGTTTCACCATTAACCTAGATGTTTTATCATCTGTGGTGTATGGATGGAGAAGTCTTGAGGCTACTGTAAGAATGAGACTGAAAGTCAGAGGCAGGAATCTTAACTCCAAAACTTGAGAACATCAGAGACTGACTCTTTATTGTAGGGAACATTAACAGACAAGAGCTCACCCCAAAGCCTCTATACCTGCACTGAAACCAAGCTCCACCCAAGAGCCAACAAGCTCCAGAGCAAGACATACCATGCTAATTCTCCAGCAAAGCAGGAACACAGCCCTGAGCATTAAAAGACAGGCTGCCCAAAGCCAGCCAAACCCACATACACCCCAAAACTCACTACTGGACACTTCACTGCACTTCAGAAGAGATCCAGCTCCACCCACCAGAACACAGACGCAAGCTCCCCTAATCAGGAAACCTTGACAAGCCACTTGTCCAACCCCACCCACAGGGAGCAGGCTACACAATAAAGAGGAGCCACAAACTTCCAGCCTACATAAAGGGCACCCCAACACAGCAATCTAAACAAAATGAAAAGGCAGATAAATATTCAGAAGGTAAAGGAACATGATAAATGCCCACCAAAAAAATAAAAGAAGAGGAGATAGGGAATTACCTGAAAAAGAAATCAGAATAATGATAGTAAAGATGATCCCAAATCTTGAAAACAAAATGGACTTACAGATAAATAGACTAGAGAAAAGTATTTAGAAGATGAAAGAAATGTTTAACAAGGACCTGGAAGAAATAAAGAAGAGTCAATCAATAATGAATAATGCAATAAGTGAGACAAAAGCCCTCTGGAGGGAGCCAAGAGTAGAATAGCTGAAGCAGAAGATAGGATAAATGAGGTGGAAGATAGGATGGTGGAAATAAATGAAGCAGAGAGGAAAAAAGAAAAAAATATTAAAAGAAATGAGGACAACCTCAGAGACCTCTGGGACAAGGTTAAATGCTCCAACATTTGAATCATAGAAGTCCCAGAAGAAGACAAATAGAAAGGGCATAAGAAAATACTTGAGGAATAGTAGAAAACTTCCCTAAAATGGGGAAGGAAATAGCCACCCAAGTCCAAGAAACCCAGAGAGTCCCAAACAGGATGAACCCAAGGCAAAACACCCCAAGGCATATACTAATCAAACTAATGAAGATCAAACTCAAAGAGCAGCAAGGGAAAAGCAACAAATTACACACAAGGGGATCCCCATAAAGATAACAGCTGATGTTTCAATAGAAACTCTTCAGGCCAGAAGGGAATGGCAGGACATACTTAAAGTGATGAAAGAGAAAAACCTACAACCCAAATTACTATACCCAGCAAGGATCTCATTCAAATATGAAGAATTCAATAGCTTTACAGACAAGTGAAAGCTGAGAGAATTCAGCACCACCAAACCAGCTCTTCAACAAATGCTAAAGAATCTTCTCTAGACAGGAAACACAGAAGTTTGTTTCAAACCCAAAACAACAAAGTAAATGGAAATGGGATCACACTTATCAATAATTACATTAAATGTAAATGGGTTGAATGCCCCAACCAAAAGACAAAGACTGGCTGCATGGATACAAAAAACAAGACCCACATATATGCTGTCTACAAGAGACCCACCTCAAACCAAGGGACATACACAGACTGAAAGCGAAGGGCTGGAAAAAAATATATTTCATGCAAATAGAGACCAAAAGAAATCAGGAGTAGCAATACTCATGTCAGATAAAATAGCCTGAAATAAAGGCTGTGAAAAGAGACAAAGAAGGACACCACATAATGGTCAAAGGACCAATCCAAGAAGAAGATATAACAATTGTAAATATAGATGAGTTGGACACGACTGAAGCAACTTAGCAGCAGCAGCAGCATGCACCCAACATATGAGCACCTCAATACATAAGGCAAATGCTAACAAGTATGAAAGGGGAAATTAACAGAACACAATAATAGTGGGGACTTTAATACCACACTCACACCTATGGATATGTCAACCAAACAGAAAATTAGCAAGGAAACACAGACTTTAAATGATACAATGGACCACTTAGACCTAATTGATATCTATAGGACATTTCACCCCAAAACAATGAATTTCACCTTTTTCTCAAGTGCACCCCGAACATTCTCTAGGATAGATCACATCCTGGGTCATAAATCTAGCTTTGGTAAATTCAAAAAAATTGAAATCATTTCAAGCATTTTTTCTGATCACAATGTGGTAAGATTAGATGTCAACTACAGGGGAAAAATACTATTAAAAATACAAACATATGGAGGCTAAACAACACACTTCTGAATAACCAACAAACCATGGAATAAATCAAAAAGGAAATCAAAATATGCATAGAAACAAATGAAGATGAAAACAGGACAACCCAAAACCTATGGGATTCAGTAAAAGCAGTACTAAGGGGAAGGGTCATAGGAATACAAGTTTACCTCAAGAAAGAAGAGAAAAAAAATCAAACAAATAACCTAACTTTACTCTTAAAACTACTAGAAAAAGAAGAAATGAAGAACCCTAGGGTTCATAGAAGGAAAGAAATCATAAAAATTAGAAATAAGTGAAAAGGAAACAAAGAACACTATATCAAAAATCAACAAAACTAAAAGCTGGTTCTTTGAGAAGGTAAATAAAATAGACAAACTATTAGCCAGACTCATCAAGAAAAAAAGAAAGAAGAATCAAATCAACAAAATTAGAAATGAAATGGAGAAATCACAGCAGACAACACAGAAATACAAAGGATCATAAGAGACTACTATCAGCAACTATATGCCAATAAAGTGGACAAATTGGAAGAAATGGACAAATTTCTTGAAAAGTATAAACTTACAAAACTGAATCAGAAAGAAACAGAAAGTCTTAACAGACCCATCACAAGCACGGAAATCAAAACTGTAATAAAAAATCTTCCAACAAACAAAAGCTCAGGACCAGATGGCTTCACAGGAGAATTCTACCAGAAACTTAGAGAAGAACTATTACCTATAATACTCAAACTCTTCCAGAAAACTGTAGAGGGAGGTAAACTCCCAAATTCATTCTATGAGGCCATCATCACTCTAATACCAAAACCAGACAAAGATGCCACAAAAAAAGAAAACTACAGGCCAATATCACTGATGAAGATAGATGCAAAATTCCTTAACAAAATTCTAGTGAACAGAATCCAATAACATATTAAACAGATCATACATCATGACCAAGTGGGCTTTATCCCAGGGATCCAAGGAGTCTTCAATATTCACAAATCACTTAATGTGATACATCATATTAACAAATTGAAAGATAAAAACCATATGATTATCTCAACAGATGCAGAGAAAGCCTTTGACAAAATTCAACATCCATTTATGATAAAAACCCT